CAGTGAGCTGTGTTCAGCATAATTAGCAATGATTTCCATATTTGCAATGTTGATTTGAAGTTGAGTAAAACGAAGTATAATTTGTACAGAGATTGTACTGAATGCTGCTAATTGACCACACTGATTCAGATTAATAATCACGGGACTACATCTCTGGGTATAAATTAAAAGGCATGTATGTCCACTAATTGACATTTTGAATAGAAGATACTTTTCATTGTACAAGATTACCAAGTTAAAATTAAGTCACTGCTGCATTTGTAACTCTGTATTTCTGTAGGTAACCAGGAGCCCGTATTTATGGGAGGGTAAAGTGGAGGGGGGGGCATTTTCCCCTTTTAATTTGAAAAGCTTTGCTTTAAGCTATCTTTAGTAATTCAAGGAGAGTCCAACAATAGTACCTGTGAGACCAAATGCAAAAGCTCAATTTCTTCTTTGAGAATGCAAAGCCTTTTACAAAACTGCAAGTCAATACATCTTCCGCACGCACCCTACCCTCAACCTCACCACAACTGAGAAAAGCACTAAGCTCCAGAGACACCATCAAAAGCTTCAGCTATTACATCAACTCCATGGTGCCCAGAAAACAAAAATGCTTGTGTACAGAATTTAGACAAACTGTCAGAGCAGTGTCATGGTGTACAATAGCTCACTGTCAGAGCCTCACCAGAAGGCGCTGTCCCAGCTGGTACAGAGCTTTTTGATTAACTTTCTCCAAGCCCAGTGACTGAAAACATGACTAACACAATCACCCAGCACTATTAGGATGGGCGGTTGTCAGAATGGACATTATTCTTGGCTGTGTGTGAACTACTCTGCTCAATAAGAAAGTCTGACAACAATTACTAATAACAACATCACTATCCATTTCATTCAGAAACAGAAGAAAAGGCTAAACAATCTAAGTAAGGAATAGAATAATCTGTTCCCTAAATTAAGGACATTTTAAAGCCAACTGCTTTGAAAACTTTAACTTCAATATTAATTTTAGTAAAAATACAAACATATTTAAATTGTGTTTAAAATTAGATCTAAAAATAATCAAAGGTAATCCTTTAAAATTGGGCTTAAGATTAGTTTATTCCACAGAAACATGTGGTTGTGTTGATTTTTAACCTTGGAAATGAGATTTAAAATACACTATTTTTAAATTTAAGTAATTTCTAATTATTTTCTCTGGGTCAGAGAATCTACTCCTGCTAGGTCTAAAATGACATCAGATTATCATGACTCTGATTATCCTGTTACCTTCTACTATCAATAAGAAGATGGGACTTTTCCTCTTACACAGAGGAGAAATGATTTATTTATTCCAAATAACAAATAATGGGGAAAATTGATGAATATTGATATGCTGCTTCCTCAAAATCTCAATCTAAACCTTAAAAAAGCTAGCATTTGTTGCTTATATGTTGTCTAATAGGCAACATATGTAATTACATAGTTTATATAATGAAATGATATTCCTACCAGTGCTTTCCCAAAATGTCTCTTGGTCTTTGGGGGTACAGGAGTAGGGGAAGGAGGAAGGTTTCAGTGGAAGATTCAATTTACTGTGTGTCCTTTTCTCCTTTCCTTTCTTATGCTACCTGACATAATCACCACTTCTTTCACGCTCAAAAGAGAGATCCCTGGATTCAGATTATGACAAAAACATGCCCAGGTGTGAAATTTCCTGTAGGTAGTCTTAATTTTTTCATAAAATGAAACAGCAAGCATGTTTTATAAAGAAAGTAAGCAAAATCTATATTTACTTTAGTTAAAATATTAGATACTATTTTATATAAATACTAGTAATTCATTAGATTTCAAGTTAAATACTAATGCATAACAACTTTAAGTAATTAAACCTTAAATAACTTTAAATCAATGTGAGGGGAAATGCAATCTGGAAGCCTTTAGAAAACTTTTTTTTTTTTAATCCAAAGAGAGTGATGCTTGAAGTTCACAATGAAAGCCAGGTAACTGGAATTGAAATTTACTATAATTTTTCAGAGTAATTGGATTCAAGAGAAAGTACAGTGACTAAAGGTTGGACTAACAAATAGAATATATTCCTTCTCTTTCTCTTTCTTAATACTTCCATTCTTCTTTGAGTGTTTCACATCCTTTGAATGTATCTGTGTAATTTCTACAGACATCAGACCTGTCTAGTACAGGGTATTCTGAGAGGGTAACATGTATATAGAAAGAGATGCTACTTTTGGAGCAAGCACTATTTAACGAATGTAGTTTCTACTCAGTTTCAGAAATAGCACATCAGAACCAAACTCCCTATCTTAAGACGATGAAATGTTCAATATTATAGCAAAAGAGAAAATTGTACAATTTGAAAACAATATTAACAGGTTGGCAGTATGGAATACAGTCAGAACATAACCTGATATTATACAGTAGTTCCCCCTTATCCGAATGGAATACATTCCAAGACCCGCAGCGGATGCCTAAAACTTTGGATATTACTGAACCCTATATACTTGTATACTATGTTTTTTCCAATACATACATACATACATACATACATACATACACTTTATGGCTTCTCTTTGGCATAACCAAATTGCCACCATCACTACTCTTGAATCTTGGGACCCTTATTAAGTAAAATAAGGGTGACTTGAACACCAGCACTGGGATACCATGACAGTCGATCTGATATAATCAGAGATGGCTACCGAGTGACTAGTGGGTGGGAGGAGTATAGAGTGTGGATACGCTGGACAAAGGGATGATTCACGTCCCAGATGGGACTGAATGGAGAGATTCAGAAGGGCGAGATTTCATCACACTACTCAGAACAGCGCTCAATTTAAAACTTAAGAATTATTTATTTCTGGAATTTTCCACTTAATACAGTATTTTTGGATGGTGGTTGACCACAGGTAACTGAAACCACAAAAAACAAAACCTCAGATAAGTGGGGACTACTGTAAATCTTTTAAAAACCAACAAATATGATTGATAACTTTATGTCCAACTCAGAAATGAACGCTAAAATTTGAAAGTAGAGACTCTTAAAAGATCTTGAAGCCTCTGCTGCCAGTCCACACTCTCTGAAGCTACTAGAGCTGCTAAATGAGCAGGAAATTGTTACCCTCAGCTATAAACCCCTGAGGGCCCTCATAAGTAACTTATACTCTTAGCAGCAATGCTCCCAAATGTCATTTCGAGTCATTAATCAGAAGAAATTGGGGAAATCCGAGAAATCCCATTCCAAGGGATATAAATATGTACTAATGATTTTAGTAAATTCAAAAGTGGAAATTCAAAAAATGCAAGCACAATCTGGCAATTTTGACATGAGTTATGAACGGGCTATAAAGTAATTATGAATTACCTTATAATTAAATCACTACTTTACAATCACTTTATAGTGACTCTCTAACCTTTGTTACTGTCAGTTTTTTATTATAGCCATCCTAGTGTGTCTGAAGTCGAAACCTCATTATGGTTTTGATTTTCATTTTTGTGATGACTAATGATGTTGAGCATCTCTTCATGTATTTATTATCCATTTGTATAGCTTCTTTGAAGAAATGGCCATTCAGATCCTTTGCCCGTGTTTTAATTAGATCGTCTTTTTATTGAGTTATGGGGTCTTCAGAGAGTCTAGATACAAGTCTCTTATCAGATATATAATTTGCAAATATTATCTTCCATTCTGTGAGCTATCTTTTCACTTTGATTGTGTCATTTGAATCACAAAAGTTTATAGTTTTGATTCGGGCCAATCTATCAATTTAGTCTTTGGTTATCAGCACTTTTGGTGTCATATCTAAGATACTACTGCCTAATCCAAGATTTAAATCTGTGTTTTCTTCTAAGGGTTTTATAATTTTAGATCTTACATTTAGGTCTATGATCCATTTTGAGTTAACATATGTACATGGTGTGAGGTAAGGTTCCAATTTCATTCTTTGGCATGTGGATATCTAGTTGTCCCAGCAGAATTTGTTGAAAAGACTTTTCTTTCCCCCACTGTATAGTCTTGGCACCCTTGTTGAAAATAATTGACCAGAGATACATGTGTATATTTCTGGAATCTCAATTCTATTTCATTTAACAGTATGTCTATCCTTATGCCAGTATACCACACTTTCTTGATTACTATTGCTTTATAGTTAAGTTTTTATACATATTTTCTTACTATACATTTCTTTCACTGAATATATTTTAGTAAACATAAGTTTTCATACACAATGAATATGTTATATATAATAATGAAGATCTCTTTAAACATACATGTTTACTTACATAGAAGTGAATAGTTTCTACAAAATAAATTGGTAGAGGATCGTCAAAAGAGCTGTGTATTTTAAATTTTGAAAGACACTGACAATTTGCCTTTTAAAAAGTTTACACGAATTAACACCCCCATCAATAATATATGAGAAAGTCTGTTTACCCTACATCTTCTGCAATGTAATGTATTATCAAACTTTTAAATCCTTAATATGATTTTTTCTCACTTTCTGATCTTTTCTGTTGTGCTAAATCCCATTTAGCTAATAAGTACATGCAAAAAAAAAAAAACCCCAAAAGATTTAATTACTAATAAAATGTTTCTACCAGCAACTCCATTTCTTGGAATTTACCTGCTATAATAGCAAAAGGAAAAAAAGATTTTCATAGTAGTGTTACCTATAATATGGAAAAAAATAACTGCACACTAGGTCCTGCTCACCTGGAAAATGGTTAGTTAAAATATGGTATATTCACTAAACAGAGTACATCCAACTATTAAAAGCTATAAACATGAAGTCCATAGCTATATAAAAATACTTTATGTTAATGTTTAAAAGCAGGATAAAAACTGTATGTACATTCTGTACACTGATTATAACTAATTTAAAATTACACAGGCATAGAGAAATGGGGATATAAATGACAATGGGTAATTTTCTCTTTTAATTTCTAAACTTTCATAACATTTTAGAATTAAGTTTATAACTAGGGAATATGTTGATAAATACATTGCTTTACATTAAAAATATACTTACTGTGATGATGCCAATTAGTTGAGTATAAAAAAGTCCAGTTATTCCAACTAACATAGTAATACCCATAAAGGCAGCCAGTCTCATTATGGCCAATTCATGTCTAACAAGAAAGAGGTCCTATAAGAAGAAAAAGAAAGTCTTAAAAACAATTCAAAAAGTTTTTCATAGTTGTAATAATAATCAAGAATTGAGCCATAACATTTCTTCTTGTTATCTTAAAAGAAATACTCTCCCCCACCTTTTAAGTTTATTTCATTTAATCAATATATAAATATTTAAAATTCTGAAAAGAATTTTTTTAATTCATAGCAACAAGCTGAAAAATAGGGTTTTACTACTCCACTGTGTCAAAAAAACAACAAAACACTCAATCCTAAGGTTCCAAATCAACCATGTTCATTTACTATTTGTAGCAAAAAAAAACCAAAAGACAAACAAACAAAAAAACCGCCAAAAAACATAACAGATTGTATAGAATCTTTGGTTCCACAAAAGGAAATTTTATTTTTGCACTGCTACAAAACTTGAATTCAAAAGCCTGATTCATAGTATTAAAGTCCAAGTGCCCAAGATACCTAGAGATTACAAAACTTAGTCAAAGTGAGGGAGGAAAGTAAATAATAGGATTACATGGACAGCTCTCTCTAAGCCATTTCATTCATCCATCCACTCACTCACCCAACTGCCACTGCCAAGCACTACACTATATAGTAGAAATGTAAAAATGATAAAGATATGGTCCATGCCCTCACACATTGCAGTTTATCTGCAATAACTCCGAAACTGTGATTTATGCTATAACAGGGAAGTATGCACAGAGGACTGCAGAAATATAAAGGAATGCCTGGATGAGAAGGAGAAATGGAAATGCTGTGAAGGAAAGCTGATTTTCTAGTTCAGGGCAGGAAAATGAGGGTCTTAAAAGAAATTGTGGTGGAAGGACAGGAAAAGAAGGAGAAGCATTTTATTTACCCTCATTGTTACCAACCAGACAGACCATAGGAGTGAGAGGGAAAGAACAAAGGCTTCTCCTGGAAACCTGTTATTGCCAAGCTTTGGTATAAAATGGCCACAGTGGATAATCTGAACAAATGAATGGGAAGGACCCCAAATATAACAACCCACATGCTTTTTAAACATTGATTCAGGTTAAGGCTTAAAGGTATCCTGGTAGCCATACCCAAAATAGGGAGATGATTGAACACAGTGCACTTGCTTGAAACAAACGAACTGATGCTTGTCTGTGTATCACAGTGACCATCCACCAGGCTCAAGCAAAAATCAGAGCCACACCCAAATCCCTCCATTCCTTATCCTGGGAGAACTTAAAATTCAGCAAAACACTTAAGGTGTTAGGTTAGCAGCCAAGTATGAAGCAGTCATTCAAAACTTAAGTAAAAGTAGCCTAATGTAGAATCCTTACAACACATGTAAAGATGAAAAGATGGGGCTATGAAGGATATAAAAAATTAGGTATAGTAAGCTCTGCTACAACGCTGTGTGAAAACACCAATTTGTTTGACAAGATCGATACATTAAGCAATAATTTGAGCTCAACAAGCATTCTGTGTTTGCTTATACATGATTTTATCTATGAGAAGCCCAAGATAAACACAAAAAACTGCAGCCAGCTAAACCAACCCACATAGGAATACATCAAACACAATCACAACCCTCAAACACCTGCCAGCTACCTCAGTTTACCTTGTGTGCTATCAGCCACGCTCATCTACCTCTGGTATTACAACTTACCCTCCAAATTCAGGCGGCCCTCCTTCCATCACTTCCCAGTAGCTCACACACCACAACCCTTCTGATGACACTTCCACAAGGCAACTTCAGGTCTCTTCTAAGGTAAAGTGCCATGTTCATTATGGTATTTATACATTTCTTGCTTATTTAACGTGTAAAATTGTGCTGCGGTTTTTATGAGGTTCCTACCCTTTTAAATATAACTAAGTTTTTAAGTGTTGTGCCTCCATTTTCCCATCAGCCTATGGTTTTCACTGCATAATTTTGCATAGTGGGGTGAGTTTTAGTAATGCACATATTGTGTTATAGTAGCTTACCATAATAAAAATACAATACATGACCAAATAAAATGTATCTTTTCACCTAGTGAAAAGACTTAAAAAATTTTTTTTGTCAACTAGAATTTATAAATGTTAAAGATGAAGATGAAACTAAATAATCTACTGATATTATATTTATTCACTTGGTTATACATTTATATTTAGGAGTATTTGTAAAAAAATACTGTAATTTAGAAATTGTTTTTTGTCACTCTTACATTTTAAAAAAAGTTGTATTCCAAGTTTACACATATATAAACCATAGTTTGAGTCATTTCACACAGTTCGCCTGAGCGCAGCATCTTTACTTTTTTCTTTAGGCATAGCACTTTTTAAAACCAAAAATTGGCTTGGGAAATTTTATCCAAAATCACAAAACCCATTTGCTATTCAAGATCTTGACTACACAATCAGTAGTCTCCCCAAAACTCCCCATAGAATGTGACTGTATGTCGAGATAGGACCTTTAAAGAGGTGACTAATTTAAAATGAGGCCCTTAGGCCTGCCCCATAGCTCTTGCTAAGCAGCCCCAACCCTGGCACTAGTGGCAGCCAGCCTCAGTTGGCAGCTAAGCTTTTCCAAGGTAAATTTAAGCCCAGCACAAGTGGCAACCATCTGCAGATCACTTTGTAGCTCATATCAAGTGGCCCCAGGAAGGGCACAAGCAGTGGCTGACCTTGGCCTGCACCAGAGCCCCTCCCAAGAGGCCTAAGAACCATCACACTTTGTGGCCAGCTTCAGACCACACTAGAGCAACACCCAACCACCTCCACAAATGACACACCCAAAAAGCAGACTGGGCAGGCACCAGGGCCCTGTTAAAGCAAATCCTGCTCTGTAGGGTCAGCCCCTGCACAACAGCTCCTCCACTGTAGTCGTGGCCAGTCCTCATAATCAATCAGCCTGAGAGTCAATTCTTCCCACTGATGTACAAACAGTAACCAAGACTCAACTACACATAACCCACACAAGGGACACCCCAGGGGCACCTGGCTCAGGTGACCAGGGAGACTGCCACTGGGCCCCAGTGGATACCAACTACATAAGGCCATTCTACCAAGACCAGGAGACATAGCACCTCTACCTAATACATAGAAACAAACACAGGGAGGAAGCAAAAATGGGAGACAAAGGAACATGTCCCAAGTAAAAGAACAGAACAAAGCTCCAGAAAAATAACTAAACAAACTAGAGACAAGTAATCTACCAGATTCATAGTTCAAAACACTGGTTATAAAGATGCTCAGTGATCTCAGGGAGAACTTCGACAAAGAGACAGAAAATAGAAAAATGGAGACAGAAAACATAAAACACAACCAGTCAGAAAAAAATAATACAATAACTGAAATGCATACATTAAAGGGAATCAAAAGTAGATTAGGTGAAGCAGAGTAACAAATCAACGATTTGGAAGATAAGGTAGCAGAAAACACCCAATTGAAACAGCAAAAAGAAAAAAAAATCCAAAAAACTGAGGATAGTTTAAGGGGCTTCTGGGGAAACATCAAGCATACCAACACTTGCATTATAGGGGCACCAGAAGGAGAAGAGAGAGCGAGCAAGTAACTGAAAACCTATTTGAAGAAATAATGACAGAAAACTTCCCTAACCTGGCAAAGGAAATAGACATACAAGCCCAGGAGCTCAGAGAGTCCCAAATAAGACTAACCCAAAGAGGCCCACACCAAGACACATAATAATTAAATGCCAAAGGTTAAAAACAGAAAGAATCTTAAAAGCAGCAAGAGAAAAGCAGTTAGTTACTTACAAGGGAGCTCCCATAAGACTGTCAGCTGATTTCTCAACAGAAGCCTTGCAGGCCAGAAGGGATTGGCACAAAATATTTAAAGTGATGAAAAGCAAGGACCTACAACCAAGATTACTCTACCCAGTAAAGCTGTCATTTAGAATCAAGGGACAAAGAGCTTCCCAGACAAGAAAAAACTAAAGGACTTCATCAACACCAAACCAATATTATAAGAAATGTTAATGGGACTTCTTCAAAAAGAAGAAAAAAAGATCAAAACTATGAATATTAAAATGGCAATAACTACGTATCTACTAACAATTACTTTCAATGTAAATGGATTAAGTGCTCCTATCAAAAGACACAGGGTGGGATGTGAAATACAGTTTGGGGAATATAATCAATAATGTTATAAAGATTATGTAGGGTGTAAGATGGGTACTGGACTTATCAGGGGGATCACTTCATAGATTGGGTAGATGTCTGACCGCTGCACTGTACACCTGAAGCTGAAGTAGAATAATACTAAATGTCAACTATAATTAAATGTGTGTAAATGTGTGTGTGGGAGATATATATATATATATATCCATGGGACGTAAAGTACAGCATAGGGAATATAGTCAATGGTATTGTAACAACTATATATGATATTAGAGAGGTAGCAGACTTGAGGGAGGTTATCACTTTGTGAGGGGTGTAAATGTCTAATCATCACGTTGTTATGTACACCTGAAGCTAATATAAAAAATAATACATAAACTATAATTTAAAAAAAGAAATTATTTTCAAATGTCAGCATCCAGAACTAATGATCTGGATCATACTGCCCAAACAACACCTGCCACATCACAGTCAGTCCTTGCTATCTAGTCCTTGTGTTCCGAAACAAGATTACTTTAGCAATGGCCATGGTCTTGGATTAAATTAATGCCTCACTTCTGTCATTAGCTGCCTCCACATAGAGTCATCTTAGTGCCCACCGTAGTCAATAATTTATACCTGGACCAAAAATCAATCATATACTCAACTGCATAAATGATACTAAAGTGATTTTATTTTTAATTTTGTGAAAGATAAAAATAAAATCTGAAACAACCTAGAAAAAAAGACATAGGGTGGTCGAATCGATAAGAAAACAAGACCTTTACATATGCTGCCTACAAGAGACTCACTTCAGATCTAAAGACACACACAGGCTGAAAGGGATGATAAATGATATTTTATGAAAACAACAACAAAAAAGCTGGAGTAAAAATACTTATACCAGACAAAATAGACTTTAAAACAAAGGCTA